ACTGCTAAACATCAAAATCGTTGTCAATATGGAGACTAACGTGGTGTTGCCTTCTGTTTGGACTTGCCGCTTTGATACATTGGCTATATCGGCAAAACGTTTATGAATGTACCAAGTCAATTTTCCAATTATATAAATCACGAATATTCTGGCAGATAACACGGGACTTGGTACGTTCCACCGGGTCTCCTTGAAAACTAGGTCGAACCAATACCTCACATAGCCTAATGAAAACGAGTAGAACCACAAAATTTGTCGTTCGGCCCACAATAAACTAGGGCATAGGAAGACACAGACTTGGCATTATGGATAAAATAATGCGAGATGCGGTGGGGGCTACATATGGTTGGCTATTAGTAGATGAGCTTGATCATAGACGTGGTCTGTGAAGTAAAAGCTTGACCAAGAGATTTACCTGTTGTACATGCCGAATCTCCAGTGTCAGATTAGGTTGCCATTGGACTTGTGAATCCAGACTTTACGGGCTTGCTCAATGAAACTGGCGTGCTATCAAAGGCCTGAGTTAGTATATAACTCCTCGAATATCACGCATATGGTAACAGTAATCGAGTCAAATCACAGAACTTTAATTACAAATGGCGCAAGACTACTTGTATCCTGCGAACTACCGAAAATACGCAAGGAAAGAGAAAGACTAAGATCAATAATAAGCATGGAGCAACACACACGCTGGGTCTGTTTCCTACAAAGCATGAGGGAGATCCTGATAGGATCTGGAGGAAGATGGCTGCAGACTAAAATGGCAGATTTGGATCAACTCCGAGCATAGTGGGTGGCAGACGAGGGATGTGGTGGGTAGTGTGAATAGGCTTCACTAAATCCGCAAATGAGCTATTGTGATTATGTAATGTCACAATGATATAAGATATGTAAATATATCAGGACAGAAGGAGAGATACCATGATTGTTTAGCAGATAATTTATCGAAGAATCGACTCCATTAGTTTCTTTGGCGAGTTGTAGTGTGGTACTAAAACTAGCAAGACTCAGTGATGATGCCGGCTAAACGTCTGGGAATGTACTAAGTCTACAGTCCGACTATGGAAATTATCATGCCTACTATGAAATGCGGACAATATGCGTTTCTCTAGGTACTCCTGCCAGTAGGACCAAGTTGCGAAAACCAGGTCAAAGGACTTTTTCGCAACGAAAGGAGACCGCGAGCATAGAGGCTACATCATCTTCGTCTTCATATGTTCTATCAAGGATATTTTTGTATCATTTTTTAATATCTGTAATTGATCCTTAAAAACTTTATTGGCTCAACCATGAAATGTTTCTTAAGATTATAGTACGCTTGATCCAGGGCGAGAAGACTTATTATTTCCTCTTACTGGTGCTTTAATTGTTCACACTTATCCTTTGCATCTACTTGCACATTTCGTCACTGACACATTCGAAGATCAATCTTTTATCTTCGTTATCCAATTCATAATTTGCCTGGATCAAACCTAATAGTATTCTCACTGGTTTGCCTGCCCCAATCCATTTATACATTGAAATGCATTCGACGATCGCCATATAAATTTCCCAGCGGGCCTGATCACCTCTTCTTAAATGTTTCTTTCTTCTTTTCTTTAGCTATCTTCCATTCATCTCTACTTGTAATTAGATTTTTACTTAGTCATTTTATGACATACTCTTATATACCGTCTAACCATAGAAGTGATTAATTTTTAGAGTCAAGTCGATGGTGGACACGATGATGAAGACGACGACGAACCAGACAGTGAAGCTGAATCCTTTACACCTGCTGCAGGCGTCTCTAGGCGAACCGACGCAGTCGGCAGCACCGCTAGTACTCCACGAGGTCAACGTTCAGGCGCTGGCCCGCTGAGTGGGGCTTCTCTAGGTGGAGCGCAAGGGAATTCGGACACCGATGAAGATGATGACGATCTGGTTCCGGCTACTCCAGGATTGACACCGTGTCACACGGTTTGTTCTATAATGATCCTTATTACTACCTAACGTATACATGCTTACCTAGAAATAAAGCTCTAGTAAGCACACACATTTATCAGAAAATTCTACCTCTTATTGTTTCATAATGCTCATTCTTATCCGAAAAGTAGCTGAATGTGCATTTGGTCTCCTATGTATTAGAAACCGATCGCTTATTTACATTACAGCATTGCTCTATGAATATACCTTTAATGATAATTAGTTTCAAGTACATCAAATATTAATCTTGAAACAGTCTAAGATCGTTCCCATATCAAGATTTTGATCGCGTCCATTCATTATGGTCCTTCGTTTTTCTTGCAGTAATTTTGGATTCTCAAACCATTTTATTCTAACTACCTATATTGCCATCATAATTTGGATCATTTTTGCAGTGCTCAAGCCATCTAAGGCACTAATTTGCACCGATGCATCTGCATCAATCCGACATTCATTAAGCTTCTTCATCTTTTAGAGGTGGTCATATAGTTTCAGTTTTTCTAATCCTACCTTAAATTTCTTTTTAAAACGAGCATTTGATATGCTTTATTTATGCAGACTCCTCGGCATGGGCCCCGATCTTCTGCGCATCCACTTACTCCAGACGGCTTGTTGGCCAGCCCACTAACCCCGCTCTCTGTTGGCGCTAGTCTAACCGGAGGATTGTCTGAATCTCGTCCGAATCTTTCTGGCTCCGGTAATCTTGCAACTGGTGCCAATGCTTCTGTATCCGGTTCTCGTCAAGCCAATCAATCTCTTACAGGACGCACTGGAACTCAACAAGTATTGGTAGGCCGTCGAATAGGTGATAATGGGGACAGAGCAGCAAAACGTCGTTTCGCATCGCCATTTCCGGCAGGGGGTAAGGACGAGTTTGACGAAGAGTATGAAGAGGGAAGTGAATATTGCGGCGATGAAGCGGAGATTATGACCACAACTACCTTAACTCCAGCCGGCAAAGGGTGTGTTGCTTCGTTTTCCCACACAGTTTTAGACTTATTATATACTTTTATATTCCCGATATCATTATGTTTTCAAAGTCTTGAGCTTTTGAGCCATCATTCATTTTTGCAATCGAAATAAGTTTAAATTACAAATTCACCGTTATTTTACTACTAAATAAAGGTCATTTTTATGAATAAACATTTAGTCAATCTAAATCACTTAATTGGAGATATGAAGACCAAGATGGTGTGGCCCCTGGTATGGTCAAAGTCTATAAAGCGTTTAAGGTTTGCTTCTTAATAAAACCGCGATGAATGCAATTTAGGGGAAGTTTTTCTTGAACGTCACCTCTGCTTTGCCATTCACTTTCACCTACTGCTGTGTAGCTGACTAGTACCGTCACGATTCTTATGACCCGCTATCGAATTTTGTTAAGAGTGCGGATGGGACCTAGGCAATGTTGAAACAACAGTTCACTATGAATGAGATAAACGTCTTGGAGACAAAGAAGTAAAATACAGTGGAATCGGTAGGCCTACTCATCTCATTGTTGGGGAACTTTCATTTCGTATGAAAGTGCATGAAGAAGAGATTCGTTGGTCGATCTAACCAGATGAGGACGGATTAATCCCGTTGTACTGCAGCTGTTTGGCTTTTATACGATGTTCAAGTTGACGCAGTCCATGAGACTTCCTCCCTTGTTTCGGGTGAAAACGGGCCGAGCTTTCGTCTATCATACGATGGACAGAACTGGGTGTCATTTCTGCAAAAGTCTGACGTTAACACTAGGGCAAGAAGACTATCTGGCTCTATCTTACATCCTATATATGCTCAATTAAGAGGCTATTGAAATTAGTAGCTTAGAAAATACGTTGAATGTGAGGAACGGTGGTAGAAAGTTGAGTAGGAACTACGTACGCTTAATTCATAGATTAAAGAAAAGCGAGGGTGCTGAGCCGCCATCAAAAAGGTGACTAAATTTGTCTTCTTGGTAATGGTTCTAACTTCACTCACACTCGTCCAACATGTTAGATTAAGCTCATCGACCAAACCAGACGTGCAAGATTACAAAGCCCCAGTCATGCCTTTCCTTGGGGACTAAACGTTAATAACCTTAGACTGAGAGATTAGGATAAGTGGTTTCGTAACTTGACTTATGCTTACAAGCTCATATCTCATTATTTCAACCATACTTGCCTACGGAATTACGCTCGGTCGAGGCTTTCTCTTGGGTCATTAGGCCTTGATGATCAGAGCCTGACATTGGCCTTTTGACAACGGTATTGCGTATAGACATTAACACGCACACACTCGAGCAAAAGTTGAAGGACCAGTATGAAAGATAATTAGCCAAATCACTCTATATCTATGTATGTAGGTTTTTAATTTTCTTTTAGCTTACCTGAATCTATATAAGAGGTAAGATGGAGCCAGATAGTCTTATAGCCCAAGTGTTCACTTGAGACTTTTACAATGAGATCCAGCTCTGATGATTTCTATCGAATGATGGACGAAAGCTCAGCCCATTTTCACCCGAAACGAGGGAGGAAGTTTTGTGGACTGCGTCAACTTTAACATCGTATAAAAGCCAAACGGCTGCAGTACGACGGGATTAATCTGTCCTCATCTGGTGAGATCGACCAACAAATCTCTTCTTTATGCACTTTCATACGAAATTAAAGTCCCACTAAC